CCCTGCGATTTCCCTTCACCCTGTCCACACCACTTCCGTAAGCAGACCTTTTATTAAATTCTCCTCAAATTACCCAATATCAGTGTGTCATCTGTTTCCTGCCCATACTCCCCAATAAAGGAGGTGGTTCCAGGAGCCCCAAACAGGATACTGGGATTAGGTTGACCATAAATTCAAGGAGTACAGGGGATGCCTCTTTGTAGAGGGGAAATGCACCCATGTAATCTACAGCATGCGGGGGTATCGCCATTACCCAAATAATCTTTTGGGGCAGCATGGGAAGAAGCATGGTGGAGAGTAGGAGCTCTTCATTGCCCTGGCATGGGGTCATTTGGCTTTTTCTGACGGCCACAGGGAATGCTTAGGGGAAAGAACTGGAAGTTATCAACGTCTGGCAGGGAGTGTGAGTGAGCAATCAGAACACCCTGATGGCAGCTTGAAGGAGTCCCTCCCCTCGCATAGGCACAGGGCACATGTGGCTGTGGACTGGCCCTGGGATGCCATTGTAAAGGTTGCCAAGTTTCAGTGCTAATTAAATACTCAGCCCTCCAGGTCTCTTATGCTAAGGTAAGGGCCTTGATGGGTAAGGACTGGGACCCTGAGGTGGCATGGAGACATTTGGGCAGACACAAACAAGGCTGAGGACTTTGAACCCCCAAATTCCCTTGAAATTCTCCTGTCTGTGGAGACAGCCCCTCTTGTACCACTCTCTCCTCCCAGGATATCAACCTTAGAACCCTCCCTGCCCCCATCCCTCCTTGGCCCCAGGCCCTTCATGAATTAGATCCCAGCAAAGCCTAATGGAGAAGTACAAGGCCCACGCTGAGAGGAGACGCCCAGGCTGAATTACAGGCCTTGCCAACCTGCCTTGGCAAGAGCTGCGGAGCAGGTGTGGGAGTGGGTTCTGAGGGAATTAGACCAAGGAGGGTGGAATGTAAGGCTCAATTTGGCCAAACTCATTGCCTTGGATGTTCATCCAGGATTTGGGATTTAATGTGTTGGCCCAAGCACCTGGGAGGGGCGTTAATAGTCTGCTAGGTTGGTTAATTAAGGCCTGGATTGAATGGTAGCCTACAGTTAATAAGTTTGTAATGCCAGAATTTCCCTGGCATAGTGTAGAAGAAGGAATCACAAGTCTCCAGGGAGATGGGAATGCTGGACTGGATTTATTATGTGCAACTTTCTTAGCCACCGCTAGCTACATATTTTAAGTGAGTCTGCAAAGCACTCCCTTTACCAAAGCATTAAGAAATGTGCTGGTGGCCGGGCGCGGTGGCTCACGCCTGTAACCTAGCACTCTGGGAGGCTGAGGCGGGAGGATCCCTTGAGCTCAGGAGTTTGAGACCAGCCTGAGCAAGAGTGAGACCCCGTCTCTACCAAAAAGAAAAGAAAGAAAAAACCCAGCCAGGCGTTGGGGCGTGTGCCTGTAATCCCAGCTACCCTGGAGGCTGAGGCAGAAGGATCGCTTAGAACCCAGGGGTCGGAGGTTGCGATGAGCCACAATGACGCCGCTGCACTCTACCCAGGGTGGCAGAGTGAGACTCTGTCTCAACAAAAATGAGCGAGGAAACTGAGCACCCCTTCTCACAAAAAAGAAAAAAGAAATGTGTTGGTGAGGGCCACCAGCATGCTCGCCTTTCTCTCATGACTGTCCTCTATAGACTTGAGAGCTAGTGTGGGGTGCTGGATGGATGATGGATTTGGATTCCCCGAACTCAATGAGAATAATGGCACCCTGGTGGTACCTGCTGGTGCAAAGGCCAAGTGGTGATGCCTAACAGTCAAAGGCAAGATGCATACGATGGCCCACAATACGACAAAGCGACAAAGTGATCATCAGAT